TCAATTTAATTCTTTTACATTTTCATAGACAATTTACCCGTCGTTACCATGCTATACAGGCTTAAATTCAAATTCACTTTAGAAGAACTAACGGAGGCACCTGCAGTTCAGAATTCTGACACAAATTTAGGATGTACTCTCTGTTTGAGTGAAAATTCACGCCCTCTGGCTGAAATGATAGGGACGACGAATCCGATTGAAATTGATTGAGTCGAGTATGTAAAGATTTCACTCAAGTTTTACTGGAAGGATTAGATAGTTTATTTCCAAAAATGAGATGAGCGCCATTTTGGCCCTTCTCTGAATTTTGCCTTCTCGTGGTTGCATCGAGCCAGATTCTTACCGGTATGTTTTTTTAATGGGTCAAAACAATGAAAATAACATTTGGAGAGACCCAGTATCCTATTTTGTTTTTAAATATTCTATAAAACAATTTGGAAACATTGTACTTTTAATGTACAATGTTTTTACTTTTAAAATGGCGTATATCTTATGTTGGAATGAAACCCTTCGATTCTTTTAAAAACCGTTACAATGGTAATTGTCTCCAGTCTCACCTTGTTTAAATTACTTAGAAGTCATTTTGAGCTTAAGTACGAAAACGTGCCGATCAATATATATAAAAGGTGGAAATGTACACAAAAAGAAAGCTCACACATCACAAACAAACAAAACTTTCACTTTTACACTAAGCCACACAAATATAATGTCAGGTAGTGGTAAGCTCATACAATGTGTCTTCACTTACCTCACTCAGTCTGACACAGAGCAGGGGATGCTTGTGAGTTTAACACGTCCCCAATTGGCCCTGAATCACATTATGGAGAATAATTAACAAACCTTGGGATCTAAATCCCCCTTTAAGCCCAAATCCTGCTTTCTCTTTTTTCTCGCTTGGTTAAAATTGTTACCATTTTTATTGCATTCGTTCACACACCGTGACCCAATTAATTTTGAATTGAAAAAGGCATGTAAACAACCCTGATCTCTATCTCTGGAAAGTGGACGGCCAGGAATGTTTATGATTGGTCCACCTTACGCTTCCGGGTGCAGTATTGTTTAAAATCGAACGGGGCCGTATTCGCCTCCCCCGTTGCTTTTACCGTCTGCGTGACTAGTTTTGCGAGGGCTGTTTTGTCAGGGGGAAGTGCTTATTATCTGGCAGCATTGTTGCGCACGTGTTTTGTAACCGTTTCCAAAATACTGGGATGTTCTGTTGTCAAATGGCCCGAAAAAGAATAGGGGGCCTACATAATGTAAAAATGAGTGGAAACCCAGAAATTACGTTGAAGTATAAATATTCCAACTGTAAAGTTGATCAACTACATTGAAAATTACACGTTTTGTTATTAAAGAGTTTGCCATGAACTGCAAAGGAGCGATGCCCCTTTATTACAATGACTTAAAACAACAATTAGCAGAAATCTAACATCTGTCACAGTCAGAGGAATGAAGACATTTTGTCATCGGTCTGTTGTAAGGAACAACCGAGCGAGGCACGTTTCGCAATTGACCTTTTCACTAATAAATTCACAATTATGCACGCATGCGCACAAATGGCATTAGCGGCAAGAAGTGTGAGTGGGCCACTGAAAACGTTCAGGGGTGAGATTTGAGCATTTTCTCTCAGGTTTTCTGTACCCAAAATCGGGTGGGGGCTTGACAAATTCACTGAAAATTGCCTGGGTTAAATTTTAACCCCAGGAAGGGAATTTTGGGATGATAATTACTTTCTGTTTCATTTTCACCCACAAAATGAGTGGATATTAACTATTCTTTGGTTAAACAAACCACAAATTAATTCAATCAACAAAAATAGGTTGAAACAACCTAAACTATAATTGTGTAGTTGCAGTTTTCACCCTCCCTTGAGTTAAAATGTAACCCAGGCAATTTTCAGTGTTCCCGCACATAATCATGAGGCTATAAACATTTAGGCGTTTTAGATACTTAAAAGTACAAAAAAATCGTTTTCGATTGTCATTACAAACAAATAAATACACTATTGCTTTTTCTGGGGGGGGGTTCTCGGGGCCCTACAGACCCCTTAGTGGTTTCAGTTCTGTGTACTAGTATATTTGCACACTTTTGTTTCTCTTAACTGCGCGAGGCAAATGAATTGGAATGCCGAAATATATCGAACACGTTTCTCTCGGTTCGCGAAAGCACCTAGTTTAGGAATACATTGAAAGATATTTGATAAAATAGATATTTTTGCTTGTTGGTGTGACTTGCCGAATGGGATTTAATTGAAACCATACAGAACTTTTAATTGGGTTTATAAAATCTTAGTGGCATCGAGACTTCACCGAGACTGTTGTTTTCCTCTTTGAAATTAATTTGCAAATGACATAAAAGGTCATCTTTTGGAAGGTAAATTCGTTTTCAGACAGCAAGGAAGCCCTTTTTCTCTAAAGAAACGTAGGGTAACATTAGGCACGGTCGTTTTATGCAACTCAACTGTTAACCCCAATACTTTTCACTTTGACAAGGAAAACATTCAAACGTCCTTCAGAGGTATGCGAGGACATGTTTTGTTTCAGATGTATTTTCATATCCAACTTCTGTTCACTTAACGAGTCATATATGGGGATTAAGAAAAAAAGTGCTGGAAATGAGTTCCCGTTCATACCTACTACCTCTTCTTAAAAATAAATGGATTGCATCCCTCTAGCGAACCGTGGAATTTTTTTTTACTGTTTTCACGTTTCTCCCCCGAAGACCCACCTCTATTTAAATTCATCATTCTACTTGGCGCTCCACAAATTACTGTTTTCTTTTTGCACTGCAGTAGAAGATTTGCTTCACAGTAATGCTACAGGAACAATTCTGGACGCTCTTCAATTATCTGAGTTCCATATTCAGTGACCTTTCAAAATTGTAACGTATACGAAAACGAAGTGTATTCACATTTTAGTTTAAAGATTTATTACCCAGGGTGTGACACCCTTTAGCAAAAGCAAATTAGGCCATGAATTTTGATTAGAATAAAATTGATGTATCTCTCAGGGCAATATTACACGGGACGAGTAAGCTTGTAAGCCACAATCAATGCCTATTGTATTAAAAGCAATGGCTGTCAGTTGGCTGTTTTCCCTTTTTTTGCGTTGAATGGCAATGAGGTGCGCATGGCATTCTCAGTGATTCTACGCGTCGTCTTGACACAAATTTACCTATACACCCTGTGAAACCTTTTCGGGTGAATTGAAGAGCACGCAGACGGCACCAAATGGGTGGGCTACTGCTGGCTATGTTGGCGAAAGTGATGTAGCACTCGCCAATCACACAAACTCGATTAGATGAAAAAATAAATAATTCAATTAGTACTCTATTTGATAGACGTTGCCCGTGGGCCTTTCTCCACTCTCCGTTATCGTTAACGATCTTGTGTATGGCACTGGAAGTTAGTAAATTCTTAATGAATTTTACCGTAATGGTTAATTTGGTGCATGCACTGTACGATTGAAAGCTTATTATATATGAAGACAACAACGTAAGATATGTCCTACCTTTTGTGCACTGGTGAAATAATCACAAAATAACTAACTAATAATACAATACATAAATAACAAAATGAATCAAAAAGAATAATAACAATTATACTACTAATAAAAAAGAAGACATTCTCTGAGGCCTGTTGTGTAACAGTGTAATGCATTATATGTTGTTCACATGTCCGTAACGATCAAATTTTAAAAAATCTGATGGACCTGACCCACCCTTCGAAAAATTATTATGCTTTCGGCATGGTCAACGATACGCGCATGGGAAATCGGTGTATAGGCTTAGTACCTATCAGCGATAGTTAGACCGGGCTTTTATAGTTCTGTCGATACAATCGACCATTAAATACACCGAATCAGTCGGGTGCATTCATCTCCTCCAGCTCATTACTCGTAATTGAGATCTGGCACCACGTATTTTCAGCTCGAGCCAGTGCTTGGTCGAAGATGCAACGAGCAATTACATTGTTTTTCTTGTTCATTCGGGCAATTTAACGTGTAGTGCAATATCCGTGGCATCGGACTGCAGCCAGACATCAAAGTGTGCCGCTCGGCCTTTCAACACTTTTTTTACTGTTGCCTGTTTCAGTTAGGAAGAAACGTTCATTTTGATTTGGGTGTTGATTGACCACGTGACGAATTTTTTTGGTGACATATGGTTTTAAACCTGAGAAATCGAAAAGAAGTTGTCTTTAATGTTGCTCTCATAACCAGAGAGCAAGGACCCTTAGGCCTATATATTAAAAACCCAACACTCGAACTAGACGGTTTCACCGGAACGAACTATTTTGTCATGAGTACCCTTCCGTTTTCTTGACGTTCAATAAAATTCCTTCAGTCTTTTTTCATTTCTAAATATTTTACGCCTACGACATGCAGATTTTGTAACCCCTGAAAAACCCCAAACTAAACAAAAACATAACAAAACAAAACAAAAACAAGAACGCGCAGACCCACATCTTTTAGCCAGTCTGCTTTCATAACAGGAACACGATCTACACGTATTGCCGTCCAAAAGGTGTCGTTTAGGTTAAATATTTTATTTTAATGTGTATTTTGTTGAAGAGCAGTGTTTCAAGTGATCAGCTTAACTCACTCAAAGGGGATCATGACATCAGAATGTCGCGCGCTATCTTTTCGTTGACCGTTGTCACCTCTACACTACATGTAGAAAAGTGGTGCAACTTAATCCAATAAACTAAGACTTTATTTGGTCTCCTTTCTGTGCACTTTCCTGGTAGTGTCGCCAGTCGCTGAGTAATCCATCAGCACATTTGTTGCCATTGGCACCATGCTTTGATCAACCCATATCCGGTGTTATTATACACGTAATTAGACATCAAGCCCTTGATGAAATCCGTTGCATTATCTCTGTCATCGTGTCTTCCTGCACTGCTGTCACCGGTCTATCCAAATACGCAGCAGCCGCGCTACGTTCGATTCCTGTCTGAGCATGCGCGGGTTGTGAGTGGTCGAAACCAAGCTGCATTCTTTCCGCGGGCCGGAATTGCACACAGCGGTCCTTTCTATGCCGCAAGTGGGTATAGCGTGGGTGTCTGCAATGCTTGGCGCTACGTCAAATGTGTATGGCAGAAGTCTTTTCTAGTGGTTGGTGCGCATTGAACTGTGTTAAGAAATGAACTCATAAAAACGGACTCTCGACAAAAGCAAAAAACATTCACTCTCGTGAACCCGCTGCATTCGCTTCAACTCTCTCGTCACCAGTTCACTCGGTAGACCTTCGGCAAGATCTCGATTGAACGAGAACTGGATACCACAAGCAACTCACGATCCATCACTGCCGTCTGAGATACACTTGAGGGCGAGTCAACGCGCTTGCGAGGGACAGAGTAACTTCAAGGATACATTTTGAAATCTGCTCGGTTTTCTTGGCGGACTAGGATGCCTGGTGTAGGGGCAAAAACCCCGCGGCCTCTGCGCACGTGGCTGCTCTTTGGTGTGATCTGCTGGGCGTTTGCGTCCTCGTCCCGGGCGGAGATAATCTCTGATGACGCGGTAAGTTGCCATAACAAAATATTTTCTTTCAAAGTTACAGGGCTTTCCACTCTGAGGCCAACTTTGCAAGATTACATTTTACATTATTACAATTTTTGAGAGGCATTAACAGCAACATATTTGGGGGGGGGGTAGCTAAGACAGGGGGTTAAGCATCAAGGGGAATGGTCAATACGGGATCCTTTCCGTCCAATCTAACAGTGATCGGTATTCCGTTGATATTCCTGACTAGAAGTTTGTTCTGATGATTAATAAAGTCTAGCTCTTGAAAACTGACCTGCCGTCGTGCTTGTGAGCTGACTTTTGGAAATTACTGCTTGCATTAGAATCTTAAAGACATGGAATCTTAGCTCTTTCTTCAAACTGCAACAATTTTGGGAAAATACGATTCTTATAACAAAGTACTTGTTCATTGACCCACGCTTAGTTGGATCTGTTTAGGAGACTAACGTGAAGAATACGTTTGCGCAAAATATATTCTGGGAAAAGTGTGCGGTGCTCCTCTCACATGGTTTATGTTGTTGTATGGCAATGCAGTCAATACATAAAAATTCACCGATGTATTTGTACTTTAGATCCATACCCAACTAACCCAAGGTTGGGGAAAGAAGCTTATGGACGCTGCTTTTCTGACCAAGATCAAGCCAAGAGTCACTCTCTTGGAACATTGTTGTGGTACGTCACGGAGGATTCCTTGTCCTAAAATGTGTTCGACAAACAAAATTTCTCGTAAGATGCTCCGGCAAAAGAGCTCAATTCTCAGAATGAGTGTGTGCGAATGTACACACAGTAATGACAAAGCTACCTCGTGAATGCGATCGATTTTCAAGACCTACAGGAGCCCCGACCAATTGGCGCGTGCTTTCCCAGAAGCCAATGTATACGGAAGTCATTGTGTGATCCTTTCCTCCAAGGCGCAGCATCTCTCCCTGGGAACCCTTGGAGTTTTTAATCCGAGTTTAATGAATACGGGCGAGCGATGGGGGTCACTTGGGGCTGTGGAATGTCAATCAGATTCACAACTTAGTGATGACTGCGTAGCAAGGGAATTCACGTCCCTCTTTGTCAGGATTTTCCTGCAATACTGCGTGGGTTTCACAGTCATTGAAATTGACTTGTTGACGCTGTTACACAATTGCAAGGAGTAGGCGAACAAGTCAGGATTTTCTATTTACACACAATAGACGTTTGGCTTATTGATGCATTAATAGGCTCGCCCTTGTTGGAGTTTTCAAAAAAAAATATCTACGTAATGCCAAATGTACCGGTACGGACCAAAATGCCACAGCTAGAACAGAAAAGTGGAGCTGGTTTTTGTAGATGTGTTTTCCTGCAGGAGAATGATCTTCGGACGTAGGTGAAGTATCGCGGTTTGGACACATGAATTCTGTTATGAAAATATAGGTCTGGATGTTATAAATGCATACACACAGTTTTTTGGTCAGACTATTCATGATGGCTGCAGTATTTTTTATGCTCAAGCGAGTCGGTTTTTCAACCTATTGGAAATATATAAAATCTCCAGTGTAGTTGTTTAAAATTTGAGGATTTCCATTAAAGGCTCACGAAGAAACAAATTTGGATTTACCCGCTACAAAGTTCCGATGAAATTTCATTTTGGCCCGATTTTCCGATTCTTTCTCTGAAGTGAAAAATGAAATGCTCCCTTAAATATTTTTTACAATTTTTAGTTAGGCGAGTGGAGGTCATAATAATTTACTAGAATTTATCAATTCAGTAGAACTTCTGAAAATGTTTGGTGTGATTTTCTCAAATGTTTAAAATAATAGTGTTCATATCATTGGCTCGTCACCCAGCGCCCTGAATCGGGGTGACGAGCAAATTCACACCAAGCCAGTTTACGATTCACAGTGAATATTGGAGATTATACCCTTCGATAATTGGAACACAACATCGAACAGGTTGCATGTTTGTCGCGAACGTTCGCGTTCGTTGTTTTCCAATTATGATGGGCCTTTGTTTTAAAATATGTGTTCACAGTGCCAAAAGTTCCACTTTTGGGTTTGACGAAACCCCCCTCCCAGTCTCTGGTCAGGCAACGGGCCTGGCTTTGCTAGATTTAATCATTTTAAGAGATGAAGAAATGAACGGCAAAATCAATGAACCATGAAATTGCCGTGCTGTAATGGCATGGACACGACACTTTTCCGTGCGCCTACTGCGCTGTCTCGTGGGCAGCTTTCAACCTACCTGTTGATGTGATCTTAACGCAAGTTTGAAGAGGTGAACGGGTGAATGACAGAAATCGATTTCGCCAGAGGGAGAAATGAAATAATCGGAAATTCACGCGGGGCCACGGTGTGACGGTTCTTCGCTGTGTGCATCAGGCATGCGGTCGGTTTCCATTGTGGCGTCTGTGTACGTGTGGCACAGTCACACACTGTCAACATCAGTGTCTCTCAAGGTGAATCACTTAGAGACTAGAATATTACCATAAACCTTGACTTTCACAGAAACCTTTTAGGTGCTTTTGTCCAGTCTCAACTTGCATTTTGAAAACTGTATCGAATTTGCACGCCATGTTGGTTTTGTAGAATGTAATTGTAAGAAACTACATTATGTAAACTGTTGGAAAATGAAAGTGTAAGGCAGTACAGTCGTTTCGCTCTTCGCTCTACGGTATGACAAAATAATTTTGAGGAAGTGAGTTGTCGAAACGGTAATTTCGATCTTGCATAGGTTCGTGCCCATTTACTATCACGCGCCCCCAACGTAGGCCTTTGGGCCACTGGTTTGAATAGGCGAGCACGTACGTGAATGTCTGTCAGCTGCATGTGGTAGTTAATTTTTCTCGAACTCCGTGCGCTGGGCGTTGCTTCATGAAAACCGCCTCATGGCACGCGGTCATCGTTGAAGGGAGCTAACGCTGCGTACATTGAATAGTGCAATTAGCTAAAGACAGCATGCAAGTCCTTTCATTCTTTACAGTTAATTTGGAATGTCTTGCAGCCACGTCAAGGAGACGCGGTGTCTCAAGAGCTGTGAAGATACAAGGGATGTTATTCAATCGGACATTGATTTCCCGAGCCACGATGAAATTGCCAGCCTCATCCTCGTGGGACTGTTACATCCTTGTTTGACACAGTAAAGACCATAAGACGGCAGCCCGGACACCGCCCGAACACCTGAAGGCGTGGTTTAGATAGCAGTTTACTCCGCGGAAATCTTGATTGTTAGTTGACTATGTTACGGAAGTCCGTTTCAGGTTAAAGGAGGTTCGCTAAAGCCAGAGCAAAAACCAAAACCAACCATGAAAATGAGTGTGGTTTAGTTACCCTGCTCTCTTGCACGCCTTCTAAGTGTTCTGTCCTTAAATTATCAGAATTGAGCCTCAAGAATACAAGATTGAATAGGCTTTCGCCACCAAAATCCATCTGTAACGACAGATGTCGATCACGGCAGCAATCCAAAACGGCCGAAGAAAATAACACGACATCGCTCATTACCAGTGCAACATCACGGTGCATCATTTGACTGACCCGTCGCAACGAGTGTGGTCCCATGCGAAGGCTTGCTCATGCGCCGTTGCGGTCGTGTTCAGCTGGCGTTGGGGTTTTGCTCAGGATACGGAGGAGCTCATGTACGAGTGATTTAATTAAGCGTAATGAGATATCGTCACACAGGCCGTTAGCACAATAGCCCGTGAGGCACGGTGTAGGGAATGATATCTAAGAGATTTGAGTCTTTTTATTGGCCATGTCAGAACTTGTCCTAGGTGCGAATACAATGCCGAAGGGTATAGAACCCACCCTGCTGTCTTACCGCAAGGGGGAAAATGCACATTTTGTGCTCATTTGGCTGTGGAAAAATGGCACCTTTAACACTTTCTAAGCCCAAGCTTTCCAACCCAGAATTGGAAGAATTTGCAGGATAAACTTAAGATCGTTCCCATTTTGTCCTAAACTATTCAATATACCGGTATACTTAGTTTAACTGAATCATGTATTTGAACAGTAGTGTTTAATTCGATTTTAAAGATGCGTATATGAAGCAGTATAGATAAAGTATTCCTGGTTCTGTTTCATACCGAATGCGTTTTCACTGATTTCTGTGTTTGGCAGTTAAGTGCTTGGATGCCCCACAAGTGCTTGAACAGTTATACATGTATTCCCCACTCCTGGCTGCTTAGGGAAGATCTGACTCTGGGAATTTTCCAATGCCCAACTTAGTCTCCGACTCAGGCACCCGTCTCTAAAAATCAGTAACTGGTTTAGGCTGGCAATGTTCCATGTAAACTTTAGTGCACGTGTTTGCGTCTCTGACATGTATCCATCCAGTGTTTTGTTGGCAGCATTTGGTTTATTGCCCAGCTAATAACTGCAAAATCGTGGGTTAAAATGAGGCGAAGCTGGACCCCGATGGAAATGAGGGCGAGGTTTGGACCCCGATTTCACTTCCTTAGGAGAGTCTTTTACGTTCGTAACAAACTCAACGATACTGTGAGAAGTAGACAAAGAGAGTACATGTATAAGAAATCGATTGGACGATTCCGCTAACTACATGTTACAGTAGATCAGGCAAAAATCAATGCATAAAATGGACATGAATGCATCTGTTACGTTTAGCTAGGGATATGCGTGCGCGTGTCTTGCAGGGCAAAACAGCCAGCCTAGATTCGGCTGCCTCACTGTGATATTCATTACATATCGGAAATTTCAACCTCAGATTAGATATTGTGTGCATCAATATTTACAGTAATAAACGTACAATTTAGTTGGCTATTTCACGGGAGAACTCGATGCAACGCGACCAAACAAACAATATTCTGTAAAACTTGGCACCTGGTCTTATTTTGGTGAAGTGGGGCAGGTATGCAGTGTAAAGACCTTTATCATCGATACCGACATGTTTGTCATGTTCCCTATAAACCCATTGTTAATACTTTACATATCGATGAAGGGGAACAGGCTATTTTTCGTCCAGCCTCAGTTTGGGATAACCAGCACTATATGCCGTAAAGGGGACCCCCCTTAAGGTGA